GGAGGGGGGAGGGAAGGAGAAGAGTCCGGGGGAGGAGGAGGAAAAAAGAGCCGCTACGCATGCTAGGCAACAGTTTTATGTCGCGGCTAGTGTAATTGGCTATTTGTCTACCCAAACTTCGACATTAATCTACTTTTAAAGTAATCGAATTCGTGGGGAATACCACTTAAAAAGGACAAATAATATGGCTAATGGCACTTGAATAATCAAGCAGACGTTATGAGAATATTGATTATCTTTTCATGCGATTAAGTAGAATTGGGAGTAAATTCACCGAAGTTAATATAAATAGCGTGCACTAGCCATAAAATAGATATTTCATAGATAGTCTTATATGATAATAACGCTTACTAGTGTGTCAAGGTGTGGACACTGTAGATTGAGACTCTATGAGTTTCCAAACAAAATACTCTATCAATGAAACTGACAAACAGATTGCATCATTCATATTTGTAAATATTTAGCAATAACACGCCTTTGGGATCACTTCCTTTATTAGAGTAGTTAATATCAATAATTACGACAAGACAAAGACTCGGATCCTAGGAAAGAGGTAAAAATATTTCACAATATCAATCGGTATTTTTTACCCCTTGTACTCTTTCCCTGGTATTTCAGTCTATTTGGCAATAGAGACCTCCCAGGAACGAAGTGGTGTTTGATGGGCAAACAACGCATTTGCGGTTATACAGTGAGATTCTGTACCGATTACCCGTTTTGCAGCAACCATCCTCCGACAAGATTACGTCATTCACTCCCATAGATGGAATCTGAGATCGTTTTGTACCCTTTGCTGTAGGTACTTTAATCTTAACTTTAGCGTGTAATAAGAGGTTAGTCGCGGAACTAGGAGCATCCCATTTTAGCTGTTTTGATCCCTGGAATATGCCACCCTTGATGCCCCAAGTTGTCACGACTGTAGGGAGAAGACTACTTCCTGGTCTTCTTTGTAGCTTATCGCAAACTTTTGGGAGGTTGTTGCAAAGGCTGTATGGGTTGGCAAGTTCTGAAGAGCAACTGCGATATCCTTCCTCGTATACAGAGCGGTACGTGGTCTGATCTCTCGGTAGAAGGTACACTACGCCGGTGTTGGGAGAGACCGCACTTCCAGCAACTGAAGTGATAGTCACCCTAGTTGACGTGTAGATCTGGTTGACACCAGTTTTGTATTCTTTGTGTGGGAGGAACAGTTTGAAGCTCAGCACGAATGGAATGGTATCTTCACCAGGAACCATCCAGTGATGGTCATGAAGCCACTTCAAATCTGATGGAACCTTGAACACCACTTTTTCGCCTCTTGCTAAAGCCTTCAAATCTACAATACTGTTGGGATACTTTTTGTTGACACTTTTTGTAGGAATCAAAACATCTCTTTCGATTTCATCAAAAGCTCTTTGATCTTCGTGTTTGATCAAATCCTCGATGTTCCTTTTCCTGAACAGACCATCTGATGTTGAACAACCAGGAATTGCTGTACCAAGTTGCTGGTATTCCAATCTGTCGCAATACACTGAGCATACCGTCTGTAGCTTATGTTGTATCATAAAGAAACCTGTCATTAAAATGGTAGCATGCAAGGAATCATATTTGCCTTCGATGTTCTTGGCCAATCTTTTAGCAATGTTTCCACGAACAACAGATGCTACAGCATCCACCAACTGAAATTGAAAGTCAAAGATATCCTCTCGCAGTGTAATGAACTGGGCGAGGGTTCCGTCTAGGTTTTCACACAACAGTTTTGCCCCTGCTTGGGAATGTGAAACAGAACCCAGAACACCGACTTCTCCATTGAGCAAATCACATGTTGTACCTTTGAATGACTCCCAAAGAGCACTATTGCGATTGAGCTGTGACCGATCTGTCTTAGGCGTATAATCGCCATATTCTTTAACGAAGCGATCAGCATCCTCCCCTATATTCTCTGCATTTCCATTTTTGATTTTATTAACCACCTTCTCAAGCGAACTAAGCTGTAATTTATTTCCGTTAAAAGCTGTCTGCAATTTCAAAGAGTCTTGGGTAAGATCATCCAGTGCGTCAATTAATGCAAGACCTTTTTTAAGTTGTGAAGCAGCGTTTGCAAGCTTTCCACTTTGTTCCATTGTGTCTTTGATGTCTGGACCACCAAACACCAGTTTAAGGGGGTTGCTGTTCGCCAGGAGAATGGCTGTCAGGATTGCTGCCTGCTCAGCAACATTTGCTCCAAGTACAATTTCCATTTTATTCATTGCCTCTTTAAGATCTTGTGTGAGTGTTCGCTCGACCGTCTGTAAGGAAGTCTCGTACTTAGCGAGTTCTTGTTGAATAAACGTGACGTCGGCAGAGGCAATTCCCTGGTCATACGTCGCAACACCTTTAAAGTATTCTGATATTCCAGATACAGAGGTCTTCAAGTTGTCATCAAGCTTCTTGATGCTTCCCAACAATTCCAACTGTCGAGCTTCGTCCTTCTGTAGCAACAGCATTCGAGCGTGATCAACGTTAGCCAATAATCTCAGATCTTTTATTGAAGTGGCTTCTGTTTTTTTAAGCTGAATCTTCTTTATAATTGTATATTGGGTGTAAAGATCACTTAAAGGACATGCTTTTTCGAACTTGAAGGAGTAACATAACTTCCCCACGATCTCAAAATCTTCTTTCTTTTGTTTTACCAGTGATAAAGCCACGTCAAGTTTCACAAACGCATCTAATGCAACTCCATCGTTGAAAAAAGGATTCCAAATAGAGTTCCAGTGATTAGGCAAAGTAGTGGCGTAGGAAATTAGAAGGTCAGTTTCAATGAGAATATTTTGGTATAACTGGACATAGTTATTTGACTGTCCAGTACAGCCTTGAGAACATAGTCGTTGGATCATCATTTCACTGATCTTATACCAAAGTATTCCGGTCATCATTGGTAAGGCTCTAGCCACATTACAATGTTTGTTGGGAGTGCAAGCTGAGAGAACATCTTGTTCAAATCGGGGATCTGGTGTAGGCTTCGTTGTTGGTGCAGCGGTAAAGTATGGCAGACGGAGTCCTGCAAGGGGTCCAGATGAGGCGGGAGGCGGATACTCATCCGGTCCACCAAACCATGGGAGACCTCTGCGTTTTCCAGTACTAGAAGAATCAAACTGCGCCCAATGATAGGGCCTGCTAGTGGTTCCACACGAGGACAATCCCGTACAAACGTCCAAAATAGTGATTTCCTTTGTTGTGTCCTTTGCCATTGAATTCAAAGAGCTCAGAGGGAGGCCTTGACAAACCTTTGTAAGGCCAACAACGTGGGCGTCTTTTCCCGAGGAGAGAAACTGATTTATGTCGATAACCATTCTATTCCAAAGCATCCCCAATCTTTCCTTCTTATCTCTTTTCAAGGAATAACTTTTATATAAAGCTTCCTCATCTGAAAATGTGCGGTCTTGTAGAATTACTGACTTCAGCATTTCAATATTGCTTCTACTTTCACTGGTGGTGAGAGGAGCTTCCACGAAGGTCTTCACATGTTGCATCAGGTCTTTGAGGATTTGAACGTACTTCCTTAGAGCATCAGGGTTATCTACGTTGTTTGCGATAGACTTCATTTTTCTCGCCATGTTATTACGGGTAGACATTAACACAGAGAGAGATGTAGCAAAACCACTAGTTTCCTGACTGTCGACACCAAATGTTCCGGCGACAACCAGGAAGAGCAGTAAGTACCTGGTTAAAACCACCATTGTTGAACAACCTGCGAATGAAGAAAGAGATTTTATATACTTGCTACCATTGGTATTCTAACATGCTCGGGAGTTATCAGTTATAACTCTTTTCTACAGGAACTGGATATGGACACCATACATGAGACGCGTAGTTGGGTAATAAGCAAGGGATAATGCAGTCTGAACTGAGAGGACAAGTACGTGATTACACTGAACCAGAAGGCTTTCCTAGGTGATGTTTTTATCCTTCTCTCACAAATAGTCCGGACAGTTTCTTTTTAATAACAAAGGTCGCAGTTAGATAAAATCATCTTAATTAAAAAGCGACTAAAAAGGGATTGGAAGTGGAAAATAGAGGAAACCATCCTTTCGTAATATGTATATCAGTCAAAAAATAAGGAGGAGCCGATGGTTTCCTTGGAGAAATATATCTGTTCTTATGTTCCAGCCAGCTGCAAGTCACAACTGGTTAACAGCGAGAAAATCTGGAAAAAGAACTCGCCAGGCAAGGAATACTTTTGAGAATTTTGCCATCAAAAAGAACTATAAACAAGATAAGCTGTTTTCAGTTTGACCATAGAAACGTTTTCCAGGAATAAAAATTGCTTAGGACCCCAAAAAAATATTGTAATAACTTCATATAAGCCGTTCTTGACCTTAAAAACGTTATATTAGCCTTTTTTGACCTTGAACGTTTGCCAGGAACAAAAAAGCTCAAAATCCCTTTCCCAAGAAAAAGTTTGTACAATTAGAACAGTTATTTAGAAGAACAGAAAAACAGACCCTTCGGCTCCTCCTGAAAAAAAAAGTGCAAGTCAACAATATTCGAGGACTGTCATAACCTTTGAACAAGTGTAAACGTTATGCTCTTTCATACCATCAGTAATTTAGCACTGATTCTTTACTAGTATTATAAAACCAATTTACCTACCTCTTAGGATGCCGTTAGCACTTGAGAACTGCAAACTGGTTCATACAAGGCAGGTTTGTCGTAGTACTCGAGGATATTTGACATCTTTAAGTCATTATGCATCTCAGTGTGGGTGTAAGGAGTGGTTAATCAGTGTATGGTGACCATTAATTACATAGTATGGCCACCACAAAAAAACAGCTCACCATGCTACTTACCTGCTTCGGGTGATGATTAGCAATGAAACGCTGATCAAGTCAAAGATATTAAAACGATTAAGACTACGACAGAGTTTCATCTTGAAAGGATGGTCATTCAGGATATGTTTTAACATATCAAAATAGAATTAAAATTCTATTTCACTGATCTATTGGGTTAAGCGATTCGCCAGTATGTTGTTGCCATGATTTACAGTTGTAAATCACTAAAGGTGCCGACTCATTCATGGTCTCACAACGGGTGAAAATATGTAAGAATTACATATTTTTCTCCCGTCCAGTGTTCTCTACTATTCATATAACGGTTGGAGCTTAAAAATTGCAATTGTTTACGACTATAGTTTTCCATTTCTCTCATTATAAATTTTAGCCTTGTGGTTGGCAGTATTGGGCAAAACTGTTACAATGTCACTGCCCAGTTATCATTATTTGTATTGGGTAAATTTTCTTTTGCCTTTTTGACATTGAATTAAGTCCATTTTCAGTTCGCATCAACCACATAAACAATCAAATAAATAAATAAATACAAAATAAACTAAACCATCGACTCCAAACAAGCAAGCAATAACACCAAATAAGCCACGTGATAGGCATATGAGGAAAATACGTTTTCATTTGGTATAGGATTTTTTTGTTATCAAATTACTAGACGTACAACTGTATCTCGCCTGTACCGTGCCGATGGCAACGAAATGATAACGAGAACAAATAAAAGATGAAAGTTATATGCAATGAAGTAATATTGGACGTCCGAGTCTAACCAGGACAAAACTTCCCATGAACTATTTGAGGATATTAAAGAGGAGTGAAACAGAGAATTAATATTCAGTACATCTTAAAATCGATAGTTTATTATAGTCTACGACTACATGTACAGACACTAGTAATGTACTCTTTTTATCAACCAGCAAAAATAATTAGGAGTTAAAAAAAGATTTTCATTCTTTTATATTCTTAATTTTACAAATTGTATCGACAGGAATATAATATATTATTAATGGTAGGTTTTTAGCGATTGTAAGAAGGGCAAATTCCTTTCATGATGTTAATCCATCCTTCGTCAAAAATCTTGACAATATCTACATAAAAAAAATCAAATATGAAAAAAGAAGAGAAACAAATATACAAAGAAACTAATCAAAAAATGTTTGTGTCACGTTCAAAAAATCTTATTGCGATAGGAATCACAACAACGACGTTTATAAGAACAACATCAACGCTGTTTACTGTTGAATAACATTATTAACCTTGGTGAAGAGGACCGATCTTTGTTGCCTTTAAATTCTGTTGAAGGTGATTCAACTTGGACGCACCAAGGACGACTTTGTCTGCACATGACAACAGAAAAGCGTTTGATAATTTAAAGGCATTAACACTACCTTTTGTGCGTTAATCCACAAAAAAACTGTCGTATTACCTCCATGTTTTCCAGACAGCTGAGAATGATGGTACAACCAAGCTATAGCCGCCTCTGTCATGCTAACACCATCTTTGCCATACACTTCGATCAATTTGGCTTTTAATTTATCCAGTAAATCAAAAATTGCCTTATGCCAAAAGTTATCCTGATATCTAAATAAAAAACGAGTGAGCAGCGATTAAAAAATTAACCCCTCAAGAAAATGTGTTTCAAGTGGTTTATTCTTACGCTTTGGTAAACGGTGTTGCGCCGAAAAACCTTCCAAAGGGTTGTTTATCCTCCTTGTCGCTGTACTGATATCTACCGGTAAGCAAACCTCCAACAAGCTAGATTAGAAATGATACTTGAAATAACAAATTCAGTTCATGGTCAACCTGACTAAAATAACACTTGAATTTCAAAACGTTCTGATATCAAAAGTTGATAAAGGCATTCAAATGAAATAAAGTGCTTCCAAAAGTATTAGAATTCTTGTTAATTATAGAATTATTACAATTTCTGCTTATGGTATTGGATTTGTGTGCACATTTGTTTGGTCAGATTAGAAGAAAATAGTATATTATCAATATTCAAAAATAGATCTTTGCATGTGATGTCAAAGCAGCTTCATCTGGGAGGACAAAAAAAAAAGATTTTTGCCCTCTTGGGAACTAGAATCTATTGATTTGTCCCGAGAAAAGCTGCAAATACTGCAAAATGGATTTATCAGATAAAACCTAAGTTGTACTTACTGGGTTGTATGCATAAAATCTGATACCAAATCGTCTCAAGCAAGGTAACAACTCCTTTTCTACATCTCTATAAAGATACAAAAAACAATATAAACAAATACAGATTGGTATAACGTTCATAAGAACCGCAAAATACATACACAAATTCAAAAACTAGCAACACCATTTTTCTATGGTTCAAATTGAGTTTAGAATTTTGAGGGAATACCTGATAAAAATTGGTTTTGAATTTTGAATTGAAGAATTTCTTTATTTAGATCCTTTTTTTATTGTAGAATTTCATTAAAGTCATTACTGCATGCTGACTAATTAACACTGTTTCTCATATTCAATACATGCATGTGTCTCTGCAATTGATCGCATGAGTATCAAACCTTTTTCCTGATAATTCTTTTTCTTCTTTTCAATTGCAAGTATGACAGAAATAAATTGTGATTTGAGATGTTCTTACTATTGCAACCATTATTGCAGAGACAAAATAAGGGAAAACTCAATAGTGGTGAACATTTTTACTTTTTTAGTCTTTAAATCATGCTTTGTAGCTAGCCTGACAACCACTCTATCGTATTTTCATAAAACAGATGCACCGAGAAAAACCTATAGAAGAAACTTGAGCATCAGAACTTCGACAAGGCCAGAGAGCTTGGTACTCCGGCTACGTACAAATAGATGGAGCAACATTTTGCACGACTGCTTAAGGTGTTGCTTATGTCACAGACAACGTAATTCATGAGACCTCACTTGGATGTGTTCCCATGAGCTAAAAACATTTCAAGTGAGAAATAGAAATGTCAGGGCTAAAGTTCAGATCTCAGCACTATAGAGTTGCTCTCGAAATAAAAAATTACTTTGCAGCAAAAAATCATTTTATGTGGTTAATATTTAAGCAAAGTTAACTTGAGTGGAGTGCTGGTCAGCGGTGTGTGATTTGCGCATGCGTAATCGCCTTAGTTTGCCTCGTGGCTGTTATCGCTAGCRGCTTTGTAGCTTGGCATTGCTGGGTGGTTTTGCCCCACCCACCCTCCTCTGGTCATATAAGGTAAGTAGTTTCAATTCCACTGTTTTACAGTGTGACAGGTGCCGAGGTTGACCCGTGGCTAGGTTGCCATGGTTACCGCCTTGCCAATTGCTTGCCTTCACTTGCTTTGCTCTAGGCACCTACCCTCCATCGTAACGACAAGTTAATGTATGCAGTCGATTTCCATTTACTCAGCTCAAGTACTATGCACTTTGTAAATTGATTACTAAAATGTCTAAGTCAAGTAACAAAAATGTATGTTAATTTGCTATTTTGTAGGAGGCTCGCAAAAGAGGCTTACACATAGACTCAGGCTTGCAGGCTCACACATTGTTTGTTTTTGAGATGTCCAAGTTTATAGTGATGAACTTACGAGTGCCTAAAATATGTCTTAACATTACAAAAAGATGTCCAAACCCTGACCCACACTTACCTTATGATACTGCAATACCTTCCTTGATACACAGTCGGCAGGATGTAATTGTTTTCCTTACACATGTAGTAGATCTCAACCTGAATAATTGAAGCAATAATTTTTCATCTCTTAAATATAATAAACGAACATATATTATCAAATTAAAATTAAAATCATCATTACACATACTAATAATGTTTTTTATACCAAATAAACTTTTTTTTAATTAATTTTGAACTGGACGTAATGTGTGCAGTTAAATAATAAAAAATAAATCAATAAATCAATTCCTTCCTCGAGTAAACAAGAACTATCCAATATTGAAGAGAGAGTTACATCTATTGAAGCAAGCTTTTCTTATGATGGATTTTTCTTTGAAAGGGTAACGTTTGTAGATAGATTGTTCCAGAGTCTGTAATGGCTGGCCACGTCTTGTGTTTTTTTTTTTTTTTCATCAGAAAAAGTCAACTTCTTAATATAGCTAATGTTTGGTGATCGGTTTGTAGATAGATTGTTCCAGAGTCTGTAATGGCTGGCCACGTCTTATGTTTTTTTTTCATCAGAAAAAGTCAACTTCCTAATATAGCTAATGTTTGGTGATCATATGATAATAAAATTTTGTTTGTGATTTTTCTGTTGGATAAGGATTTATTCAGTGGATTGTACTATTCAACCTTTGTACAATTGGTCAAAGAATACATACAGTGCTCATCCTTTTATGAATCACAGTTCCAATCGCCACACTTACCACTTCCCAAGCAGCATAATTTGATAAACCAAACTCTTTAAACTTGCCCTCTAAACATTCATACGAGGAAAAGATTGTTACATTCCAATCAACCCATTTCCCATGAATCAATTATTACAAATGGGAAATGACAAAAGTCAATTATTTTCTAGGTAAAGAAATGACAATGTATTCCAACATGTGATGGCCCTGGATTTTATAGGAAGAACTTGTGGAAGAAGGGGGAAATCACTAAAATTTCCTTATTTTTAGCTGCTATCACAGTAGTCAGTCCATTGCATTCTTCCAGGATCTATTTTTGTTGTTGTTGGTTTGTGCAAATGACAAAATTTAAAAATTTTGGAGATTGCTTATACTCTTACATACTATTACATCATCTCACGCACAAGTGTCCATCTAACTGGAATACATTATTACTGGAAGTTCAACAGCCAACTTTCAAGGTTGTTCTGATAACACCTCACTCACTACTGATCAAGTCAGTCACAATAACAGTACCTTTGTGAAGTTTGTCAACTGCTTTCAATGTTTCTTCAATGGGAGTCTTGTGGTCTGGAGCATGCAGATAGAAAAGGTCTACACTTTTCCTCTTTAGTCTGTCTAACGACGTGTTGAGTTGTGTAATAACAGAATCATACTGTAATCCTATAACAAATAAGCAAGATAAGTAAATCCTGGATGAAATGCTGTTGGACCGCTACCCGGCTAAGGGTTAAACCTAACAAAATAAAAATAAATAAAATATAAATATTCCTTTGGTTCATTTTCTTATGCAGAAGGGACTGCATTTTTATTTAGAAATTTCTCAGTTACCTTTCTCATTCCATGGATTTGCTTTTGTAGCAATAAACACCTATGCAGTGAGAAGGACATTTTTATCATATAACATCATTGTATTCTTGTCTTACCTACTTTGCCTAATTCTCCTGCCAAGGACAAGAGTAGTATAATTGGTCAGTAGTTTTCTCAGTGCAGAGGAAAAGTACCATCATAATTTGGTATGGATGACAGTCCTTGACAGAACATGTTTTAAACATGAAACACTTCACCTTATCATTTTTCAGTAAGTCAATATCACCCATTATTTCCTCTGATTTTCCTCTAGTATACCTTAGAACAAAACAACATTATTACTCAAACAGCCTATATAAATAGATTGTAAAACACACCTTACAGATATGCTGTATCAAAATCAAAACATCCTTCCTCCATGCATAACTTGACAAACTCAACTGCCTTCAACAAAATAAAAATAAAAGAGTATTAAAAAATATTACTTAAAAACCATCAGACAGAACCCAGCTAAAAAGATCGTGCAGATCAACAATATTCCTGTTCAATATCAGAAAAGACCAGACAGAAAATGTGGTGGGTTTTCTGGAACCTAAAAAATGTGGGGTTCAAAAATAACGATTTGGGCTACCTGTGCAACAAAATTCAGTAAGTCGCGTAGAGACAATAAAAAACAAAAGAGTCAAAGTGTAATAGCGATAAATACGCTAAAGTGTGTTTCACGGGTTTATGAAAACCACTCTAAAAAAAAAGAGCCAAAGTGTAATAGCGATAAATACGCTAAAGTGTGTTTCACGGGTTAATGAAAACCACTCTAACTGTGAAATACACTTTAGCGTATTACACTTCTATTATATTTCTTGGCTATTACACTTTATTACACTTTGTTTCACGGATTAATGAGAACCACTCTAACTAAATAAGGTTGCTTTGTGTAACCAAACCTGAGCTGGATCAATTTGCCCACCAAACTCCAATGTCCCAAAAGACGTTCCTACAGCTTCATTCGACATTCTTATATGTCAATTATCCAACGTGCAAATGCAATTCTTCAGTTTTAGGTATTGGCACTAGATTCCTTTTATACAAGGGGTCGTTGTCCGCGATGCTTCCAGGTTTTAGAATAATGAACAACCGCTGACCATCAATTTATGATGGGCTTCCTGTGTTACTTGCAGTTTTTGTAGTTACTCCACTGTTATGAAGTAGTCAGCAGTCAGTTATCATGTCAGCCATCATATGTCAGTAATTAATCGAGAGATTGCAAGAATTATAAACCGATGTTAAAATTATCGACTTCTCGAATTTTCATAACTTTCTTCATGGGAATTCTCTTGTGTTTTTATCACATTATATTTTTTCTCGCGAACAGTTTTTTTATTTTTTTATATGTTTTTTTTATTCTGATGATGACTTCATAGACGAAAACGTTCAATTTTTCTTTTTGTACATATCACTAGCCTTAATTTTATTGTATAATTCTATAGGGTTTTTTAAATATTGAAGACCAGGAGCCCGGCTCTTGTGACGACTTGGTTGTTTAGCAGGCAAGATATATGGAAAACTGTTACTTTGAAAGCAAAATTTTCATTTTCCTTTATTTTTCACAAACTAAATATATGAATATTTTATAATCAATGATAAATTGAATGTAGTCTCACTTTATTTCTAGTCGAAATTCAAACGGACATACAAACTGTAACACTTTTGATAACTGCTTAGCCAGCCACTAGCCAGCCAGAAATCGCCACATGAAAAGGAATAAGCAATGTGTCTTTAAATGTTTGGTCTCAACTTGTAATAACATGGAATGAACTATATCATCATCAATGCCAGTATTATCGCGGTTATGATGTCAACTCAAAACTTGATATATAATGACGAAACTATAATTTACAACAACGCTGGCGAAGCTCCTCCACGATGATGTACAATAACTTCAAATGAATAAATAATCCCATTCAAATAATCATTCACGATCTCAGTAACATTAAATGATTTAGTCGTATTTTGAGGCCTTCAAAGTGGTGCAATTATTGTCCTTAAAAATCTAATAAGTAATCTACAATCCGAATTGCATAGTCATAGCAGGTGGCGCCATCGATATATATAGAGTATTACATGCTGAACACCCTGAAAAGAATACAAAGGAATCCAAATCCCTGAAAGGTGGCTAGCCAACTAATCACCACCCCCTCCCCCCTTGATGTACCTGATTCAATGACATTATTATAACTGAACATTGATCAAATGGACCGTCCATTGAACGAGATGACATAAATGCATTCAGATTAATCTATTCCTGAAAAGAACCGCCTGAAATATAGAGCTGACTCGTTTCGGTTGACAACCATTTGACCTTCATTAGTGGAAGGAGTACACTGTTATGATGCAAAATGAACACGCTAGACTAGGAATACAAAATATAATAAAGAACAATTTGCATCATAAACTTACAGGTATCATATATGCGGAACTATCGGACGCAGATAAAATGTTTGTCGACATGTTGCGGAGAAATAGATGGCAATATATACGAGTGATAAATATGTCCATTTGATACTCCAAAACTGAAATAGATCTTACAAGTAATTGATATTGAAAGTCAGTCGACATTTTGCATGTATTCTTCAGTGTCCAAAGTTTTAGGAGAAGAAGGATTTAACGCTGAGTTCGTAAGCACAAATAGATTTATTCAATAATTCTCTAAAGACATGTAAAATCTATAACAGAGCTTGTACAAGGACTATACCATGTCCATAACACCATTTGTACAATACATCTTATGTGGAATGATATCACTTATTATTGCATCCAAATATTCTTGCTAATTCACAAACATCTTGAGGATCAAGTTCTTCAGTTTTCTGAAAATGGAAAATAATACCAATATCATTGTCAGGATTCATGATATTGTCATGACTATTTTTAGCAGTTTTCTTAGAAACTGATTGTTCCACTTTATATAACAATACCGGAAAGTTGACCGTTTTTACTTGAAGCGGATCATTTTTCCTTTCATACGAAAATTGTTCTTCTATAATTATCCTTCGCAGTATTACAAACATAAAATAACCAGTTTAGCTTGAATTTGATAAGATAGCATTTTACGTTTTTCTCAATTGTTTAACTAATTAGAAATGCACAACTTGAATCAATCAAAATGGACGTTTTCGCTTTATATTTCAAAACCATCCGACATATTTCATAAAACAAATTCATTACTGTCTGTCTAATGCAATTTCAGTTTTGGCATTCCAAAAGTGGCGTTTTCTTATGAAACTGTATATTTTAATTAAAATCGATACTCATTAACTGGACTATAAAATTGATTTTTAGCATCTCTTGGCCATCGGTCACACCCAACAATATGAATAATTGATGTACGCATGAAAACTGTTTCAGTAAAATAGATTCAAACATTTCGAAACAAGCGACCGATGATTGTGGGCGTCTTACTGTTATTATAATCAATAGCCTCGTGTTAAAGGACTTCTGTTCTAACAGGACGTCTCAAAGATCAGTTTTTGCTGCATATCCACACTATAAAACGTGCTATTATAACAAAAAAAATCAGCTGGACTCTCAGCTGTTACTTTAATTTTCTAACTAAAATACTAACCCTTATATTTCTTTAAAGAATGTAAATATAGATAAACAAGAATCTTGTGTTCGGCAATAATTATTATATATATTACATCCTGGTATAGGTTCACCTATATAATCATTGCTTTACCTTGTGTTTGTAAGCCGATGGATTATTTCTTCTTATCGATCTCTTGCCCGTTGCTGGTAAAAGAGGTCCATTTACGAACGCTTGGCTATCTTGAATAAACATCCCAAAGAGTATCAACGTCGCTACTGCGACCACGACAAGTACGCCCTTCATCTTCGTCGAATACTCGTTGTTCTCCTCTTGTCATATTTTATAGCAAAGTGAACTACAGTTTTATTAGATTAATCATTTTGCTGCCATGCAATTAGGGGGACGCTTGCAATGACCCCTAATCGCCGTGTTTATGATCTTATTAAGTTTCTGTTTTGCCGGATGATTTTTCTGAACAGCTGAAACAACGAAAGTGATGTGTGGGATATGATTTTTCAAGATCTGTCGATGGTGAATTGCCATAATCTAGAATTGTCATAAATAGTTATCATTTTGAAGACAGTGTTCACCGGTGTTACTTGAAATAATTACCTGACAGGTGCCTAGGGATAATCTTTTGTCATTCGTTTCTCTGGAGAAAAAAAAAAAGGTTTTGAACAAACGACAAGAGAGAGAGAGGATAAGAAAGGATATAAGCGAAAGTAGCCTTAGAAATATATTTTTATAAGAAAAGAATTGGCTCAAAACTCTTGGCATCCTATGTAGAGTCAAGCGTGCACGCATTCAGATTCAATCATAAGGATACATTAATGATACTTCTCCCTCTTTAATGATATCTCCCTCTGTAACTATGAATCAAGAAACCTCTTGCTCGAAGCGAGAGAAGCAGAGGATGGAGCTGTGATGTGCAAAATAAGCATTATATCTTTTGACATGAGAAACGTTTTAACAGTTTATAGGCAAAGCACTTAATCCTTAAATAGTATAAAATATTACTAAATCATGCTCATTTCTTTGTTTCCTATTGTCTTCTCAATATTATTTCGAACGAGTTAGTTGTTTCACGGATTGAGGGCGTCCACAACACTCTAACACACGCGTTTGTGCTTCTATGGAATTTCGAGTGCGAAAAAATGGTAGCATCAATTGGCTTTCATTCGTCCGTCACCCCGACTTGGGTGGGGGTGTGCCGCACGACCCTCAAATCCCTTACCCTATCCCAGACCAATTTTTGTGATTATACATACACTACCCCAGACTAAAGGTACAAAGGTACATTATTTTAGCGCTGAAAGCGTGGCCTACCAGATACGATCACAGGGCAAAACTCCACCCTACCCCAGACAATGAGACTAACACTTAAGTTCCAGGACTGAGACGATTTCTAAGGAGTTACTACTAAGAATTGAATATAGCTAGTCTAATGAAATTGATTGCGGAGTTTTCAGACTGAAAGACACCGCATTCTTCAGGGTCGCTAATACAGTTCTATATGATAAGCACGAACAAACATAATGTCGAAGGACCTGCTCACGATGCTATGATTACGCGAAGAGTTAACATAAGTCTGATTTCATGTTACACGTCTGGTTACAGGCTCCATTGTTTGATGTATGAAGTGACATGACAAGAGCTAGACTTGTAATTTTTCATCATTCTGTTCCCAGTACGTGCCTTCATCATTATAAAACACACAAAGTGTTTTAGTGAAGTGACAATTCTGATAATTATAAAACCACTCAGGACATTGCAATTAAAGTGATATGATGTCAAGGTCATTTCGTAGCATTAAATATTTAAAGCACATCGAGATGAAGCAATAAATACTCTAATCTCATAAAAACAGCTTATTTTGATAATCTGGATAATGAGTGACTGTATTAACTTCTTCCTTTAATGTTTTTACGTTGTCTTTTACCTTTCATATGATGTCTTTTCACCTAAAACAACCTTGGACCACTCTATACTTGTCGTTCATTGAAGTCCTCTTGATGCAGAGTCTTTGGACGACCACCACGATGATACGCAAAGTAGGAGGTTTTTTCGTGAAAAAAACATTTATTCAATCATGATTATCATGCAGGCTCTTTTTAAATCGTTACCGCAGTAGACAATGCCTATGCTATATTTTGAAATGCATGTACATAAAACGCCTTTCTAAATGCAAAAGAACCAAGCTATGTTTCATTGTGTTCATTTTGAACTGAAACAACGTTTTACATCGAAGGTACGGTTATTATTTCAGAGATGATAGCAGGATAGGTAAAAAAGGAATTCATAATCTACATCTACCAGTTTATGTGCTAAAGTGATATGCCATCATCATTTCGATCCATCAACTGTCAATCAACATTATTTCTACAACTCTCTGTAGCATGATAAATAACCTTGTTAGTCCGCGTAGATGACCGCCATTTTGAATTTCAGTGTATTGACTATGGCACCACACTTCCTACGATCTGCCAAATCACGTTCTATTCCCAAAATAACCAAATAAGTATAAAAAGTAGAATTAACGGTCTCATGATGTGTGCAGAGCACAGTGAGGGGGTTGGGTTCTAAGCTCATTTTCTCTGTGTATTTAGCGAGGCTTATGTATCTTTTACATATCATCAATGCTCAAAATAAGGATTGCTTCCAACTTCCTACATTCTAAATGGGCAACTCTCCGTACATAAAGTTTGCATTTGCTATTCAACGTAACCCGACTGAACGTGCTAAGAGCGTCTATTTTCCAAGTCATGCATATTCAATATACAACTAGCTACCTTGGTTTTAATACAGCGACTGAGTTCACGATATTTTGAGATGACTAGTGCATAGAGTGGTTTTCATGAACCCGTGAAAAAAAGTGTAATAATTAGAGTGTAATAGATCGTAATAGTCGCGTAGAGATAATAAAAACCAAAAGAGCCGAAGTGTAATAGCGATAAATACACTAAAGTGTGTTTCACGGGTTAATGAAAACCACTCTAATGTTGTAATATTGCTATGTTTATTTTGATCGGGCTTCCTGTGTCTTATCATGAGATACCTGTGATCACCAGTTCATGGATAGTGTTTTTTAAAAATATCCTCTGTTATAATGTATTAATTCCCCGGCCCTCCCCGAGGGTTGTGGGGGACCGGACTTTCAAATGACTAATGAATAAAGACCTAGTCAACATTCAAATTCACATCATCTTCATCTTCCTAACTTGAAGTAAAAGGAAAAAAAAACACACATATACAGATTAACTGTCAGACATGACGGAACGTGAAATCACGCTAGATTCGTTTCAAGATAACTTTATTTCAATTTTAGTTCTCACAATATCCACCATCGTATTCACTGTCATCGTACCATTCGGGGACATYCTTCCACCCGTAACAGTAACACGTGCCACCTGGTTTCACGTAGGATGAAAAAGCCTTACAGTTGGGCCATTCCCCGAATCCAGGTGGTCCCTCAAGTTTGCAGTATTCATAGCATCTTTSTTTGCATCGGGATAAGTTGTCTTGTGATACTGTAGTGGGTCTATCCCAGTCATCAGACTTGGCAGTTTTACCACTCAAATACTTAGGTCGTGAACCTTTAACTTTACATGCTACTTTACCAGCATGAACTGAAAAAKTAAAAAATACKAGGTCAGAAACTGATATGTTACAGTCGTCTCTTGATTTGCAGACAGTCACTATTGAGTGGGGACACTAATTACGGCGCCAAACGTAAAACGTTAAACATCGTGTTTGTCGTCTAAAAAAATGAAATGGCTTATAAAATGATCTTAGATGGTCTGTAAACTGTATTTATGAGATTAGGGTCAGACTTATTGATTCGTCTCAAAGTAATTTAAAGAATTATTCAAGATCATATTGGTTGTTTTATGATTCCAGGATGTCAAACTGATTTCAAAATAGACCCCGAGTAGCGAAGCCATGCAATCAGAATGTACGATCTGCACGATTTAGTCCACTAGTATGGTAATCACCAGAAGTCGATAGTCAATGTGCATTTTGTACTGCAAAGCATGATGGGTTATGAAGTAGTCGCACTTTTTCATGTTCGCAGATTAAATACAGATGAAATAATCAGACCAAAATCCGTTTTTGTATTTCCTTTGCGGAAACGACAAAATAACTTGCATCTTTACAGAAAAAAAAAAACACACAAAAACGTTTACTACATGACCATTGCTACTTATCTCTATAAGATATAATTAGTAACCTTGTTTTAAAAGTACAACCTGGAAGTCATGCTCACCTTGGACTGTAGCAACAACAACCACCAACAACACAGCAAAAACAAGCGAGTTCATCTTTTCACCTAAAGAATTCAAAAATATACCAGAAATTAACAATCTAATTCAGCTAGAAGTCCTAGAGGTCAAATAAAAAAAGTTTGATCACATRACATTCCAAATGTTAGGCTCGGGGATTTACTCCAAGTAGATGCTGATGTTAGGTCTTTATTGGTGCTATGCCCCAATTGGCTTTTACAAGGTTGTTTCAGCTGGAGGTAACGGTARCTAGCAAGGAAACTATCGAAWGGACTGAACCAACTAACCTGTACAAGATGTACATCTACCTATATAGTGAATGTCTTACAGAGTAAAATGACAGCAAATTGGCAGGCTGCATTGCAGTATGATTGGATAGGAATTAACTTGACGTACTAAAGTGTCTAAAGTTTGATTTACTAATAAGATGTTCAGCCGAGGCTGAGAGTGAAAAGGCTATGCCCCGATATAGTTTTAAGTTGAATTTAAATATGAAATTAAGACAGAAGGTATCTCTAATAAGGAACTAACTTTCTATCAAGTTATACTGTAAGGATATCTAGAATAAACGAYGCTACAAGGCTTTAAATCAACGAAGGACGTTTTAGGGTACGCATTGAGGTGTAGGGTTACAAGGGAGGAGTCTATCTGGAATTGGTGTAATATTACAGTGCTATAAGACACGTAGGGATATCCTAGGTGATAATGTGGAAACTGAAATATGGTGCTTTGTAGTCTCGTTATATTTACAAACTTATAGTTCTTGTCTGACAGCTTATAATGGAATATTCGAAATTAAAAAGATTAAAGTGACAACTAAACAGTCACAAGCTGTAACAAGCTAACMGAAACGTGATGCATGCGACTAAGTAGATGCCATATTTTATATCTAATCAAAATTATGTCAAAATAAGTATAAGTTCTATTAATACAAGTCAGAACGCAGGTGGAACTAGTTAACCTAGTGACTGACTTATAACACATTAATGGATGTTTACCATCGCTAGCCTACTAGTTAATGGACGGTAGCTGAGTACACATAWGC